TTAAAAAAGATTAAAAAAAAAGAGAGAGAGAAAAGCCAACCACAAAAACCATCCAAACCAATGGTTTCATTAAAAGTTATGAAAATTTAAAAAAAAATTGAAAAGTTTATGTTCCTATATATACATTAAATAAATCAAAATTTCTGACTTTCCTTACTGGTGTCTATCACAAGGTATCTTAGACACAAGAACCTGCACACAAGACCTGTTAAGTGCCTAATACCTGGTTATGCACAGCCTTTCAATGTGCTGTCTGTCCCCATCACTACCTTGCCCACACTATGCCCACAGCCCTTTGCTTTTCAGTCTGCACCTGAACACCTAAAATGTTGCAATTCAATACAACACAGAAAGAAATAGAAGCATGATTCTAACACTAAAAAAAATTTCAGCAGTGCTGAGCACCCAAAACTCTCCTACATCTCTTTTCTATGTGTTCAGATTATATATATCTGCCCATTACAAGCACCTGATGTCAAAATTCTTTCCTTGGAAGCTTCAAGAAGTTTCCACTTTTCTAATTATCACTGTCCTTGCCTAAATGGTAGAATTCTGGACTACATATAAAGTAATTTCATTCCTCATTTTTACATCAAATATATTACAATTTTATATAGAGATATCTTACTGATAATTGTTCTCTGCTAGGTTTCTCCTGACCTTTAAACTGAAGAGAAAAAATATACATTTGTTTGTCTAAATGATGACGTGCCAGTTGTAATTACTCCTAGAGCAGGTAACTTATGTCTTGAGAAAGTTTGTTTCTTCAAAACATTGGGATTAAATTACATTGAACAACCAAACTTGACTTATTAAACAGAAATAGGCTAGAGGACAGCTACTTGATGAAAGATGTATTCTATCATTTGAATGTCAAAGTGTGTGAAGCTGGCAAAATGTTGGTTTTCTGCTCTAGAACAAATAAAGGTGTTGTTAATGTGAGAAAGCAAGCTATTCACAATTTTAAATTACTCTGTTGTCAGCTTCCTCATATAATTATATAGCCCTAGAAACTGAAAAAAAAACCCAACCAAAAGTAATCAAAACATTTACACAGAATTGGAACTGTGAATTACTGGGGAAAAAAGTTTAATCAGCAAGAATGTCTCTAAAGGATTTTAGAGAGCTTATTTTGCCTCAAGACAGGTCACGTGTTTATTCTTCACCAAGAAGAATAAACCTCAAACTCCAAGACAACAGAGGCAACCATTTTTATTATCATACTTCCATATCTCTTGTTTTTAGTGGATATTTTAAGTTATTCACCTCCCTGCATAGTTGCTAAATAGTCCCATGTCTTCTCTAACTTGCACATTTTTCAAACTCCACAGAGGAAGATGGAAAACTTTAAATATAGTTCCCTATATTTAAAACTTAAATAGTGCAATTAAAATATGAAGTGTATCCATTTGGGTTACAAAAATATATGCTACGTTAATAATAAGACCCAACTGCTGCACAGAAACTTGTGGCTATCAGTGAGACTTGCACATACATAACACCTGCATGAATAGATTCCTTTTGCAAATCTGAATAATTTACATTCCTGTACTTACTATGGCATCTGATTACCTCAATTTCCAAATTCTTTTAATTTCTAAGGATGTTACAGACTGTGAAGTTCTTCTGTCCATTTGGTCTATTCATTTCTCTAAACAAGATCTTCTTTCCAAGCTCCTGGAGGGATGTCAAGTTACCTAACAGCAGTACAGCATGGAATTGTGCATTTACCTGGGCCTACCTTGGAAGTATGCATTGGTTTATTCTCCTTTGGCTTCCCTTGGTAAATTAAGTACTTGGAATGCTTTTCTTCAAGATATTGTTGATTTTAAACATTTATAATTATAACTACAGCCTGAAAAAACTTCTTATGTAAGTATATATTGCTGTTGATTTTTTAAGAGAATTTATTTTTGGCTTAGAGATCTGGAAGTAAGACGTTTGCTTAAAATAAATGAATTGATTAGTGAGTACATTGACAAGCACTGCAACTTCATGAGTTAGAAAGGAAAAATAAGATATTTTTAAAATTTAAAATATTTGAGGGATGGATAGAATTGTGAGCGCTTTTTATTTTTTTTTTTTTTATATAAAGAACAAACACAAGGTTTAGTTATGACAATACTATGACCACACTGAAATACCAAGAGGAACTTATGTAAAACTCCTATAAACCTCTTTCTGCAGCCATCAAATCCTGAAAGTTTTAATTCACTAAGCAAACAGAAGTAAAAAAACTATTTGGGATATTAATATAATAAAGAGTAGATAAAATTACTGCATAAAATATGAATTTAAATTGGTGAATCTGCAGAAATTCTTAGAATCATAGGAAATTATGGTTGGAGAAGACCTCCAAGACCATCAAGTCCAACCTTGACCAAATACCACCTTGCCCACTGAACCATATCCCAAAGGGCCACATCTGTTTGGTTTTGAACACTTCCAGGGATGGTGACTCCAGTCTGTTCCAGTGCTTAGCCACCCTTTCAGTGACATTTTTCCTAATATCCAATCTGAACCTCCTTTGGGACAGCTTGAGGTCATTTCCCCTTGTCCTGTCAGTGCTGGCCTGGGAGAAGAGACTGACCTCCACCTGGCTACAGCCTCTGCTCGGCAGTTGTAGGCAGTGATAAGGTCTCCCCTGAGCCTCCTTTTCTCCAGCTCTCTTGGACATTCCTCCCAGGGTTTATGTTCCAGATCCTTCACCACTTTGTTGCCTTTTCTCTGGGGTGGCATTATTTTGTCCCCAGAACCTCCCCAAGAAAAATACTCTTGGTTTTTTTTCAGTAGCATTTAAGTTAAGGAAGTTGAAAACAACTACTTTGATTTCAGTGATAAGAAAAACCAGAATGTTATATCTGAAATAATTTTGCTGAAATAATGAATCAACATTTTTACTTTTCAGAGTAACTTGTTAAGAACAGGCCAAGGCACATCAGGAATCTCCTGGACTTGACAATGTTTCCACAGCCTTGCTAAATTTCAGTGGATGTCAATTCCTTTAATTTCCATATGTGTAAACTTTTGAATACGTCTAAGCTTCATTATCCACAACTGGAAAAATTATAAATTGCATTCTGATTTATTTTAAACCTGCCTTCTGCCAGTTTAATCTGTCCTTACAATTACACATTCACTGTGCAACTATAGAGCTGACAGACCTTTCTCATACCATAGTCTTTTTTTTTTTTCCAAAATAAATTTTCCTTTCTTACTGCACCACTGGTTATATGGAAGATATTCCATACTTACAGTCATGACTTCTGTCTTTCCCTGAATCTTTCCATTTCAACCAGAATTTCAAATCTGTCTGAGGTATGAGAAGCAGTACTATGTGTGGTATTTAAATACAGGCAAATGACATATTTATGAAAGAACAAATTATATTATTCTGTTTTCTATTCCATTCCAAATAATTCTCAAAAACAATTTTTCTTGTTCAACTGATAATGGAGACTGAACTGTCATTTTCATCAAATTACCTATCACTACACTAAGTACATTACCAAGTAGACCTTGTATGCAAAGCTATTTTTTCTCCATATGAAATTTTTTACAGTAATTTACAATTAAATTCATTTTCTATTTTGAGTCCATTCACTCAGCTTTATACATTTCTAAGACCAACTTTCACCTTTAATACTGTGAATAATTCAGTATTAGCAGGATTTCTCACCATCCTGCTCACTCTCTTTTCTAATTCACTTATAACTTATTCACTTATAACTTGAATGTTACAGTCCAAGCAGAGACCCTTCCACCTTTTTTTTTTTACTATCTTAGCCTTTTAGAAAACTAATACTTTTTTCCGGATCTCTGTTTCTTGCCTCCTAACCAATTAGTGATTCACCATTTTTCTGTTCCATATTCCACATCCTAAGAAACTATTGTTTTCCTTAGCAACTTCTGGGAAGATCTTGTCAAAAACCTCTGGCAATCCAGTCAGGCTCTACCATTAGCATCATATTTGTTGACCCTTTCAGAGAGATTCAATACGTTTACAAGACAGGGAAGATCATTATTATAAAAAAGCCATATTAATTTTTCCCAGGGAAAAAATCATATCCATTCATGAGTCACATAATTAAGTGTTTATTGTAAATTTGGAGTTCTGACAGTACACATCTAGGGTTTTTTACTGTTGCTACTCTTTAATCACCAGTTAACAAGATCCTTCTGCAATGCAAAGCGTTCTGCAGAGGAAAGTTCTGGTCTAGGAGCTACCCCAGTTCTTTCTGCAACTATATTCATCCATGGTGAAGCAAAAGGAGAAGTTAATTAATAGATTGGAACTCCTAGTGTTTATTTACATTAACTTTTCTTGTTTCTGTTTTCAAGCAATATCACAACTCATTTACTTCTGATTTTTAAAGCCTATCAATTGAGTAATTTGGAAACAAATCAGTCATCAATTCAGATACTTTGCAAAAATTGTTTTTGCAGTCAACAACTCCATAATACAGTTAATAGCCAAGCTGAAAAAGAGCCAATAGGAGTCCTTAGAACAGTGGTACTTACTCAGAAGCATCTTAATTCTAGAAATGTTACCTTTACTTCCAAGATTAACTTGCCATTGAAATAGTTGAAGCAGCAAAACAACAAAGGAGTATTTTACCATTTTTTGTTCCAGAAATTAAGGCTAAGGTGTAATAACATTTTTGTTCCCTGAGAAAAAGTATCAGAAAAGTGATAATCTTTTACAAATGACTAATGTGCTTTTATGTTTTTGACAACACTGAAGAGTTTTTCACCGCACTGGAACTCGATGACAAGCTTCTATTTCATTTTCTTGACAAACAAGGTAGTCTCAAACAGTTTTAATGGACTCAAAGATGTTAAACTTCAATTTTTTATGTGCCACTCACCTCTCAACTCTCTCCCCCTTTAAATGTCAGTGTTCTGGGAAAACAGGATGTGTCTGTGCTTTTTGCAGTGGTATTGACTGCTAAACAGACACATGGGTGGTCACAGTTTGGGAAAGGAGGACAAGGACTTACCTGCTTCTTTGGCAACATCTGCAGTTGAAATATTTTGGAGGTTTGAGTGCACTCGGAAGGTCACAGCTGGTCCCAGCACGCTGAAAGAGATTATTAAAAAAATGTAAAATTCATAATCAAGAGACATGGCATAATATCCCTTATCAAAATAGGTTTTTAAAGAGAACCTATTAAGACACCATTTAGCCCTCTTCCTTTTGCTTCATTAGCTACATTTGCATAAATTTTTATACCTCTTGTGGTTTCCTGTGTGTATTTTGTGCCCGTCTGAAAGAATTTCAATGACATTAACTAAACTTCAGAACACTTCTGTAAATACTATTCTTATTATGAAGATGGCAAAATGGAGGCACTGAAATTGTTATTCAGTCAAGTTCAGCATAGATTATCACTGGAATTCAGCATCCAAAGAAGATTACATGTATATTCACATTTTATATTCCCAATATCAACACAACTTCAGTTCCTGTTTTTACAACTGTAAGTCAGAGGGACAATATAAAAACTCTGAATATTTATCTTAATCATATTCTGCAAGAATTTGTGTAGAGAAGAGGTTCTGGACATATCTGATCCAATAGTTGGTTTTGACCAGAAAAATACCTCAAGTATTTATCATTTGACAACAGAGGGGATCACAATTTTTGAGAGGAAAGTATGTGAATGTGTGAAGACCTTTCTCTGTGTAGCCTGATGGTCCTTAATGGTGCTAAAATCTATAAGATATTTACAGAGGAAGGTACTGATTAACCAGATGTAGAATGGCAATGTACTCAGGGTTTCACCAAAAAATATCACTGTGTAATTTTAAGGAAAAATAAATCTGTATTAGTAATGTTGCATTCATTCTCCATCCCAATAAACATCCTACATGTACATCTGATGAAAGGAATTTCAGCTGTGATGCCCTTAAAACTATACTTAAATACTTATCTACAAAACACATAAGAAAAATACACACAAAAATATAGTGAATGTATTATTAAAGAAAAAATTCTGGGGAACAAGAGACCACATAAATTATGGTGCTAGAATTTACAGAGGAGAAGAGCATAGTGTCTGAAGAAAAACAAAAATTAACAATATTTATAAAAGTTTACTTACCTAATATGTACTATGCAAGTTCCTAAGATTTTTCAAACTCATGTTATCAGTGAAAAGAATTACATTTATACTATGAAGAGCAGCCCTGCTTAGAAGGTGAAGTGCATGGGCTAGAACTGCTCATGTAACAGCTTTTGACTTCCTATAGCCGTGCCTTAGGAGAGAATGAAATCTGAAAAATTGCTGCATAAAAGAAATAACTTGAAAAATATTCTGTTTCAGGGCTTGAAATGAAGTGTTAAGTTATTCTTTTAGTAACACGTTCATCTCTTACAGTCATAGAATGGACTGCACTTAATGAAGTGTGCTTAATTGCATCACATATATCCTAGACAGAAATACCTTTAAACTTTTTCCATTTCACACAGAAAAAACCTTTTCTTAACTATAAGACTTTGCTTTGAGGTTACAAAGGGAATCCAAGTAAGAATAAGAATAAGAAATATCTTTTCATCTTTTACTAGCAAAGCATGCACTGCACACATTTTATTCTGGAGTTAACAGGGACTACCATTAATCAATCATTTTTCTTGAAGTACACTTGGATGGAGGGGAGAAAAATAAAACAGATTCTATTGTTAAAGGACTCTCTAAAAGCCTGGTCACTAATGGCCAAAATCAACTTCTAATAATGCCAGGCAAGTATAGAACATTTGTCAACATCATATTAATATTATGGATTAAAGCACTCAACAATTGCAAGTACTTTTTATTTGAGATAACAGCTTTGCAAAAATCCAGACTGTTCTGTCATTAACCCTGAGATTATCAACCATAAAATGCATCTGTTTCGGGATACCAAACACTGACTTCTAACTAATCTTGCACTGTCCTTTCTGTGTTGCCAACCTAAGAGAAATGCTGATTCCTCTCAAGTGCTCAGATATTTACAGTGCCATCAGCAACCTGCTTTAAATAAAAGCAGCATCACCCCAGTATGTAACTCTTGCATAACCAAGATAGGAGGGAAAGAAAAACCAGTTTCAGATATTCCCCCCAAATATTCACTGTATTACAGAACCTAGAACCAACACAAAATTTCGACCACAATGTAGTTACACTTCAGCTCTATCAACAAAGAGAAAAAGTTTCCTGCCCTCCTTCCCTTACTTGAATGTTTTACTTTTACCTCTCAGCCACTCCCCACTCCCTCCCACTTACCTGCCCTGCCCCACTCCCAGCAGTCTTGCACTTCCTGGCATCAATTAAATCCCACAGACTAAAATTGGGATAATTTCAGTGCCCAGGCAGTGAGAGACAGGGATTGCCAAGGAGTGAAGCCTGCCAGCAACCATCCCACTATTTTCTACTAACTCCACCTGGATAATCCAGGAACACGGGAAGATCTGAGCCATGCCCACAACAGTGTTGCCACAAGTGTTGTCATTTCTCCTCACTGCTCAGGGAAAACAAGAACAAAAAACAGGGCAAGGAAAAAAATTCCTTACGCAGGTGGGATGATACCGAGTTAAGACCATCCTTTTGCAAGAAAGAATAAATCTCAAAATCATTTAAAACACCCACTAATATGTTGCTCTGTGGGTCATTGTTTTCCTCTACTGTAGCAATAGAATTATTGTATGTTAGAAATCACCTGAGCACCACAGCAGCCTGGCTTCACTAGGAATATTTGCAAAATATAGAAAACAAAGTGGCTTTTGTTACAACTTCTTGCACATTGGCATTCTGTTTATTTAAAAGCAAACAAAAGACCTTGAGATTACTTGGTCAAAATTGCATTTCTGCTTGATGTTTTGGGAACTGACTGCTTCAGGAGCTCATAAAATGAGATTTTTCTCATGGGGGCTTCTGGCAAAAGCACTCAATAAATAAACATTTCAATAACAAAAGATGCTCTTTAGGGAATTCCTCACTGTTCATTATGTGTTGGATGAGAACATTTAAACAAAACCAGTAATTATTTGACTGCAAAATATTTTTAAAATACTTTTTAACAAGAGGTCAAGCAGCCTGAAAAAGGGTTTCAAGATGCATAAAATGCAACTTTGATAGGAAATTTGTGTTGGCTAGATGAGACTGCTTTCCTGTGTCAGACCCTCTGAAACCTGGCTAACATTAATGGCAATTGTCTTCAAATTGTTCTAAATACAAGGGCTCACTGAGGTGCATACATTTGTTTTTAAGGTGATGAATTGCAAGCAAACCATTCCCACAGACAAGGGAAATGCTGGGGGAGCTGAGACATCACCCCTGCTGTACCTTACCCTAACCCAGCTGGGCAGGAGAAAACACTCACATAGAAACCACATGGACCAGGCTGAAACCTCACCCACCTCTGACATCTGCTGCAACTGAGGTTAAAAATGTTAGGCAGTATTTTTTGTCTATCCCTGTCCTACTATAGTTACCTGCTACTACAATTACCCCCAGGTAAATCTGTAGTCACTTTTTTCTGGCACAAATGAACTTATACTCACTCAAGTGAAGATTGTGAATTTTAGAAGGCATCTGGACTATAGAATGTAATTGCACTGATCACTTTTTCCTTATACTTTCTTAATTATTTTTTTTAATAAAGGTAAGCAATTCTGGCTTCAAGGATAAAAAATAGTGACTTCTCCCTGCACAAAATTTAATGTCTGTTGCAATGACCTGCTACATTTATTATTTGAACTTTACCAACTAATTACCCTCCCCCGCTGGCTGTCACAACTTTTGCCTTTTTTTTTTCACTTACAATAATGTTGCCTTCAGTCATAATAAGGGTTTTTTAACAAAGACATTCTAAGCATATTGCAAATTGTCACCCTTATGTGCTGTTGTCTTTTATTCTGTTTACTAGAGATGAAATAATTACAGTGTTTATACCAAAATGACTTGAAGGTTGATTGCTGATTTAATAATATCCCCTCCCCTTGGGTTTATATTTCCCATCTGAAGGTGGGAGGGTGCACAGCACACACAGAAACAAAGAATATTCTTTGTATAAAATAGAAGTATTTCCTTTTGTTAATTATTTTACAACAAACAGCATTCTTATATTTTCCCCGTCAACAAATGAATGATCTGAATAAACAGAGCTGGAGCGTGATCAATATGGCAAGGTCCATATCACTTTCAAGCCGTAGGTTATAATTATATTTATGAATGACAGGATTTGAATCCCCATAAATGATGTAGCAAGCTTTGCACGCCTGCTCCTCTCCCTCGTGTGCGCGTCCTCCAGCATCACGGACCGCGCCTCCGCTGAGATGCAGGCGCAGTCTATCGTACCCCCTAGTGGAAAAGGATTTCTGAAACAAGTGCCAACATGGCTCTGTGCACTCTTGAAGATGAGACATAGAGCCAGATGGAAATGATTTGAGGTGGCATCTCATTTTTAAGACACAGGCAGAGTGCAATTTCTCAAGACTGGAGGAAGATGAGGAGATAAGGATTGGCTATTTCCAACATGAAACATTCTCTTAATGAGTCGATTTAATAAAACAGGGCCTGCCTTAATAAAGCTTAGATTTGAAATTAAAGTCACTACTTGTCTATATGTTCATTTCAAAATCCTTTAATCTCTGGAGGTTAAGAAATGCAATTAGTAACGCTCCAGAGGACTATGCAAAGCAAATTTTATTGCAGTGAAGGTAATTGTCTCAGGAAACGTTTGGTGGGCTTGAACTAATGACTTGCAATGTGTACACATTTCAATGCCTTCTGTGTTTAGGAATTTGAAGCTTATGTCCATTGTTTATATTGCACTGAAATCTCCTTTTCACCTTCTCAATTTTAGAAAAATTAAGATGCTCATGTTACTGTAAATGTTTTATATATTATATTTAGAGGTATATAAACATAGTTATGTCAAATCAAATCAATGGGGAAAAGCACATAATTAGCAGAGGCATCTTTATACTACAGTATGTTTCTACAACATGATTTACAGAGAAAAGCAAAGGCAGAGAATTTCAGCTGGACATTGACACATAATACATGAATGGATTAAGATATGTACATAGGCTGTCTT